ATGAAGGGACGTCAATAAGGTAACTGATTTCCTATCCGTAAACTGATACGCCGGTCTTTAGCCTATAGTGATTGTTGTACGTGAAGAAATACGAATGAGTTGAGTGCGTGTTACCGTGGCTGGTCGCTCCGGAAGGATGTGACAGCGTTTCGGAGAGTTCTTGTCATCCGGGATTCGTCCAGAAATCTGATCCTTCGTATGTATCAGTGCTTGGTAGAATATGAGAAATTGCGAGGCGAGAGCTTCGATGGAAAGGGATTGAGAGTGCGCTATCGATGACAAGTATTGTTGCTACTATGCGAAAGAAGCCCAATTATAGAAAGCTACTGATCGAAGCTTGAAATTGGAGTACTTCTCAGTCACTGAAAAGTCAGGGGCAACCCCGATGCAGTGTTGAGGTCCGATGGTGAAGACCCGTGAACCCAATCCCACCATATCGGCATCGCTTGACCTGTTTCTCAAACATCGGGGTGATAGGAGAAGGCCAGCGTTTCGAACGGTCAATTGCTATCATGCTCGGCAAGCTCTTGCTAAAGCGATATGGAGACGGGAATGCTGATGTAGCGTTCTCATCGGTTTGCTGCGTGAACCCTAGTGATAATAAGAGGCTTGCGGCCCTTGCCTTGGGGAAATCGCAATACGACCAAAGCAAGTGATCCCACCGGTTTGATGTGATGCGGTCTAGTTCTCGATTCGAGCCTTTCTTCTTAAGGTGGTGATGGTCACTACCAAAACGGCCCGAAAAGGCAGTACGATGCGCTAGCGTAGTCGATGCAGGCCAGAGCCAAACCCGATTGGCGCTCGATGCGAGACCACCAGGTCTGCCAATTCTCCATATAGCTTCGTCGGCAAGGCCCCAGAGTTGTGCGTCATGTTGCAAAAAACAGAGTGACGTCTGAAGCGCGACAGGGGTCCCGCATATGTGCTGCTCTAGTTGTAGCTGTGCCTCTCTGGTACAGCATGGGATACGTCGTCTTGCGAGAAGCCCTAGAACGATTGCATGGATAATCGTGTGGCATTGTGAAGACATCCAACTAGTATCATCAATGTGACTTCCCACCCCAGACATTGACTAATTCATCTAGTATCGAGACCGACGGAAACTTGCTTATGCTCAAGACGGATCTGAGAATCTCCAGTATCTCCGCTTGTCGATCTGGTGTCTCCATACAGAGTGCCGCTGATGTCAAGTCAGTAATCTGTACATATACGAAGAGCTGGTGTAAATACCTGCATAGATAGCCTGGAAGCTGACAAAAGCCGAAGGGGAATTTTGCGATTGCTGCGCCAAAGCAATACCACATATCGTCGACGTGCTTTCGCGAAGGAGCTTGAAGCGAGTTTGATACGTGTTGAGACCTCCTGTCGTTGGCTGATTGAGAATCATGATTATTCGCGCAAAGTGGTAGGTTTGGATAGCAGCGGCATGTGCGGGAGGGTGTATCCAGATCGGCGTCGGCTTCGCTTCGAGGGTCGAACTTGGAGATGATGCGGTGGGTCCAGTCTCCACAGGTATGGGCTCGAAGCTTGATGGAAGGAGGCTTTTCCAAGCATCTAGCATTCGTAGCAGTGTTTCTCCTGCTTCAATGTAGCCAGCTATGTCCCCTTGCTTCGGCGCTGCCGCGAACTGGACACATTTTGCGGCGATATATATGATGCGTGTCGCCAGTCCTTCCGACGTGAGTTCCACCATCGGTACCTTGGGCTGATGTATTGTCAGTGCTGGTCGTCCAGTACGAAAAGCTGCCCAGATGTCTTGCCGCAGCCATGCCCACCAAACTGCACGTTGCAGACTATCGGGAGACTCGCCGCTTGCGCCTGCGTTCTTTTGTATCCAGAAAGCTCCTCTCAGATGACGGTCCCAATTACTGTGATCGGGATTACCAGCCGTACCAAACATTTCTACGAGTTGGTACATGTGATTAGTATCTTTCGCACACGTTATTCGCATAGAGACGTTGCTTACCATATGTCGAGATCATCGTAGCAGTGACCAATATTTCGCGAGAATTGGTATATGACTGATGCCATATATTCTGCGACAGATACTGCAGTGTCTCATAGTACAGTTGTTCGGCAGCTCTTCGTGGAGTGGATGATGCGCTAGAAGACGAAGCGGGCGTACCGGGTTGAACCTGAGAAGCTGCCTCGTTGCCGACATCCTGATCCTGGGATAGGGCCATATGACAAGCACCGACTGCCAACAAGGACTTGAGCAGACCTACGTTATGCAAGGCGAGGTGGGGAACAACATTCGCAAAGTGTTTTGCAGGGTCGAAAAGATCCAAGATCGGTGCTACATCACTGACATAATGTTCAAAGTACGTCAGCTCTTGCCGCTTCAACTCAATCCTTGCTTCCGTATTCCATGGTTGCTCGGCTATTGCGACTGTGTGAACGTTGACGCTACCAAAAGGGTCATCGTCGCCTGCTAGAGCGACGGATTGCCGAGGGGACTGTCTTCTTGATAAACTTGCAATATCGAAATTCCAGCGATTGCTATTCGTTTGCCCTTGCATACTGTTGATCGCGTCTTCCGCCAGGAGATCATACCTATCAGATCTTAGCCAATATCAATCTCAATAAGCGGGTCGATCTTACCATTCGACAGGTCCAAAATTAGGCGCCAAGCTTTCCCCGAAGGTGAAAAGACTGTCGTCAAGGAAGAAATCATCGTTTGGTAGTATACTTTCAGTGAGCCCCGGCGGTTCTGCGGGGAATGAGGGCCACGACTGTAACGGCTCCACAGGCTCTGAACCTAGCGTTGGAATACTTACAGACCCAGGCTCGGTCTCATTGTTTGATGGCGCTGAGTCCGCAATAGCTGCGGTCACGTCGACGTCACGCGCACTTAGTGCTCGCGGGCGTCGGGGTGTTGGGGTCCTCTCAGCATATACACATTCTCGTTGGACTCTTTCGCAGTTTCTGCAACTTGGATGGCTTTCGTCGCACTTGACCTTACGCTTGCGGCAAGTCAAGCTGTCCACTTGTTAGCATTGTGCTTACGATGCTGTGCATGGAGAGGTTCGAGCTTCTGCTTTCACAGTAATTAATGCATGCTTGATCTGCGTGAACTTACCATCCTGTCGAGGTCCTCAGTCCACGTGATTTAGACGGCATGTTGTGCTGTGCTCAGGCTGAGAGCGAGCGTGCGAAGCGATCGCATCGAGGAACGGAACGCGCTCGATGCGGGCAGGCCGACTCAAATACCAGACACGCGGAAGCTAGCCGCAGTCGCGTGCAGACGTTAGCAGCGACGCTAACTGTCTCACGGGCACCAGAAGGATTTGCTGTGGGGAACCTGGACATATTGGGGATTTACGGGATTGCGAAGTCTGAGGGACGAGAGCCGTAGCTGTGGTGCTGGTGAAGATCGTCCCGAGCTTCATTGGTGTTATGTAAGCGCTACACCGCCCGTCGGCGACCTAACGCCTTTATAATTCCAAAGCTTCACAACTTCGCAAAGGGCTGTGATAAGAAGGAAATTCTCTCAGTATTCCTGTTTTATATTGCTGTCCAGATACAAGTTTGACTATTCCTAATTCTTCATACTTGGTGTAGCCTTTCAATCTTTCCTGGATGCCTTCTGGTTGTTTCTTTTCAAGGTCATGCACGCAGTCCACGAGTCTATCAAGCTGTTTTGCGATCCTTCTCTTTGCACCTCCAACTTTTCTTCGATCCGTCGTGTAGTGGCTCTGACTGCGTGCCGCCTCGAGTCCTGGGACCATGAGCTTTGCAATCTGACTTGTAGGCTACGCTCTCGTTCCGAAAGTGAATGCCATGGAATAGCCAACGGAAGCCGCGAGCAGCGGCGCAGCAATAATCCCAAGGATTCAACACCTCCACCAAAGCTTCGTTGGGTCCACACTCATACCTTTGTTCAGGGAACTTCGGAAGCCGATCGATCTTGTAGGGTCGCCATGGGAACGCCCAGTAATGCAGGACAGCAAAGACCAAAGTCTCGGTGCATGTAAGCAGACAGGTAATTCCGACATGAAGATCCATCTCAGCAATGAAGCGCGTAGGTCGCAGTGCTCTGTATTGAATGAGCAGCGAGATGAGCCATGTTTGCCAGTAAGTAAAGAAGACGATAAGCTTGACGCAAACCATCTTGAAGACGGGCCTGTTGGGTGCGAGATCTTCTTTGAGTTGCCCGTAGATCTGATGTAGGCAATACATCGCAACAAGAACAGAGAGTGCATCAAAGATGGCCGTCCATAGCGAAGCGTAGCGTACGTTATGACTTCCTTTGCAGAATTGGCCGAGGGATGAAGTGATGACGGCTACGGTTGTTACGATGGTACGAAGAACGACATATTGGAATATCCCGATGTAGTTGATCTGCGGATGATCAGTAACCTCTCAAAGAATACAGGCTAGGCCATCACTTACATTGAACCAGGTAATGCCGCTCCTCGGCCTCCTCAGCAACCCTTTGTGCTCGCCGCCGGTCAGCTTCTGGAACCAATTCAACGGCCAACCCCAATTGTTCGGCTCGACGTGGCGAAAGTACTCTTTTTGCTGATGGAGATCGGGTGCAATATAATGACACATGAGCGTGAAGAAGCTCGCGACTGCATAAGCGGAGTAGCATTCGCGGACAAGCTCACAGTAGACAGCCCTTCTGTAGAACACATAAGAGAGCAATGTGGTCCACGCGTAGACCGGAATGACGAAGAGGATACGTATAATGTGCTTTTGTTCGTGTGGGTGTCGGTAGTGCAGTGCGTGTTGCATGATGTGGAAGACGGAAATCCCAATCGCCAATGACGCCAGAGTGCAGCAGACATTTAGAGTCAGCAGATGGAAGGTGATGTCTTTATGGCCAAAGGGCAAAGCCTGTTCGGCGATGAGGTCGCTCGTGAGCTGATCGCCTGGACACCGGCCGGCCATTGTCGTCAGTTGTGCGGACTGAGTGAGGAATCAGTATGCGACTACGCAGGGAGCCACCCTACCATGCGTAGCAAGATCGGTGCAGGAGGAGCATTGGAATAAAGAGGCTACAGCAAATCGTAGCCGTCGTTCTTGCCTGCTGCAACTTCGAGCAGCGGCCTGACATAGGGAAGGAGGACCTGGCCCGGGTCTTCGACTTTCGATATTTCTTACAAAGATTACATCCCTTCGGGTAACTCATCCTCTCCAAACATCTGCCCCTCTTCCTCTATATCCACCCCTCCCTCGCCCTCTGTAGCCACTACCGCCTCTGCCACCTCTGTAGTCAGGGCGCTCTTCACCAACTTCGACAACCCTGTCATCGTCGTCAAAACTGTATTTGTACTTCATCTCAGTCTTGATGCCCCGCCCCTTCCTTGTTTGGCCAGGTGCCCAGTCTCTACTTGTCTCGGCGTCCAGTTCCTTCAGCCTCAGATCGGAAATTTCATCCGAAACGGGGAGATAAAAAAGTTGTGGCTTCGCTTCTGTGGAGCTGAACAGATCGTGGAGTGTTTTGAACGAAGCTTCTGTGTTTTGTCGGGTATCTTTCGATGAGGCTGTTGGGAGCGATGGTGCTGGTGCTTGTTGTATAGATGGCATTCGTGCGTCTGCGCTTGCGCGTGGGCCTCGTGGTGCGTTTGCAGGAGCGCCTGAACCGACTTCCTGGAATACAGCTACAACAGAGCCATCACTGGACTCTGGATATACGACTTCAAACCTTTTGGGGTTATGTGAGCGTTTGTTTGCACGAGCGTCTTTCTCGGCAGCTGCAGCGTCCTCTTCCTCTTTGATCCAATCCTTCACGTGCTCATCCGGGACGAAGTCGACCCAGAGCTCTTTCCTGTTACCTTCTGGTGGCCAGATGGAGCCGTGTAAAGATGCTCGCACTCGTGATGCAGCAGTCTTAGTGCTAAAGAGTACAAGCGCATGCGACTTGAGTACGTCCAGGAAAAGGGTTTCCACAATTGTGGGGTCCGGTGAGGTGAATGGCGGCGAGGCAAGAGAGATTAGGTGTGCTCGTAGTGGCTCCAGACGCAGAGGGCGCATGAAATTGCGGATGTACAATGCAGATGTCACAGGGTGGAGCGCGGGTACCGTGGGTCTGTCATCAGTCAAGGCTTCCTGGGGTGTGTCGTCTGCGTTGGATTTCATGAGGTCTTTGTACCGAGAGGCCTTTTCCTTTTTCTCGCGTCTTGTGTCAGTCTCCACAACTGGCGGATCCTCCCCGGCTGGTATAGAGCGAGTGTCGTTCGTTTCGTTTGGATTGCCATTTGCTAAAGGTGCGGTGTCTTCCTCCGATCTTCTTTGCTCCATAACGGTGTCCTCGTCTTCCTGCAGGTGAACGCCAGGCGCCGGTTCCTGGCTGGGCCTGTGCTTCTTTGCCTTGATTTCCTGGTCCGCCATCTCGGGGGCGTCACTCCTCCTCTTTCTCTTCTTCGAGTCTGTTTCTACTTCTTCCGTGTTGAGCCTCGATGTTTCCGTCGTCGAGGGCTCTGGAACCGTAAGCAAATCCGGCTTCTCAACGGATTGTTGCTCATTGGACACAGGTGAAGCTGTCTTCGCGTCCATGCTCGTGTCTTGCAAATCTTCGGGGAGTCCAGACGTTGGCTGCGCCAACCGCAGAGCTTCAGCAGCCGGTCCTGGAGCATCTGGCAGCTCGCCCTCTGCGACTTCGACTTTCTTTACGTCTCCAACTTCCGCATCCGTAGGCTCCGTCACGGTTGGACCAACCACATCGTCGGCATCTGCGGGCGGTGCATTGAAGACTCCCGCCGGTTGTATTGAGCCGGGCTCCTCCGCATTGGTTGTGTTCTCGGCAGGCCGCTCTATTGCTTTAATCTCGTCTGGTGGAGGAATCTCGCTGTCAATGTGCGAAATTGTCTCGGGGAGGGAATCGGTAGTCGCTGCGGGTACGGGTAGAGGCTCTGGCTCGGCTTCGCGTGTAGGCTGCTCTGCTTCTAGACTCGGGTCAGCATCTAGCGGCGGCGATGTACTCATAGTGCGCATACCTCCAGCATCAGAGAGCGCTGGTCCAGGGACATGCTCTTTGGTGGCAGTGTCGTCGCCAACTTCGGTATTCACCTGCTCTACCGCATCCGGCGGCGCGTCTGCGCTTTCGGTACCCTCATCTGGCGCACTGGGAGTCTCAGCAGCGAGGTCGGCCTCCTGAAGCTTCTCGATAATTTGCGCCTTTCGTGTTAAGCCGGTGCTGGGTATACTCCGGTCCTTCAACACCTGCCGCAGTTGCGCGACTGTCTGTTTGCTGTAATCCGTCATGGCCGGGTGCTGTGCTCAATGGTAATAAAAATAGCGGAAATAGAGTCGCATAGATTTCTTGAACATATACACCTGTACAAACGGCCAAAAGAATGATAAGTAAGGGAGAATGAGAAGGTGTGACAAGGCTGAGTAACCGCAAACGTCACGCCTCAAGGAAGTTCGCGCGCGTTGGAGGCGTGCGCTAGTGGCTTGGCATACATACACGTCCCGCAAGCCACCTGGGCGCGTGTGGGGAGGGCTGCATTAACCGAGCGATCATGGCATTCTGTTCCTTCCTTCGCACTCTCCGTCTATGTAGACATCGCGTGCAAGGTGGTGAGCGCGCTGATTATCTACATAGGTACCCGAAATGCTATCTGCCAAGTATTTTCGTGTCATCATCATGAAAGGGTGGTCAAACTTTGAAGAGTTGAATACTGCTGCAGGGAAAATACGATCCGGTAAAGTATGTAAACATCAGCGCGATCAGCTTAGAGGGTCATGAGGCTGATAATTCGGTTTGTCATGAAGCCGTGCAGAATCAAAACACATGATACCAGTTGGAAGACGTTTATCGGAAGATTAAGCTTATAGCGCCCTTCACATTACTTCATATTCTTTCAAGTTTCCTGTTCCTGAATAGGAAAACTCTAAGTTGCTTCACGTCGTCATCTCTCATAGCGTACCATAAGCGCTAGAGTGTACTCATCTAAGTAAGCTCTCACGCATACCTGAAAGTAGCCGCATGGGTTTGTGATTACATCGTAATAGGGGTATCTCAAATCCAAAAATATCAAGTCTCGAGTAATCACACAAGTATCATCCCATTTTATAGCATCATTGTGTACGGTTGTATAACGAAACGCTCAGATAGATGAATTGAGTCAGGTAGCCCGCATCATACAGGTTCCGGTATTCGGGAGCTTCATAGCCGCGCGATGTAAGAGTCCTTCTGGAAGGGATTGGAGAGGACCGGAAGCGCTGGTACCGACGATCGTTGATCTTCCACTGCCGAGCGATTACTTGTAGCTAGCCTGATTTACAAGTGGGTTCATTAAAAACCGAAACGGGGCGAACTGAAACCTAATTGATAGCTAGCGCAGAGAACAGGAGCCGTGATGTCCATCCCACCGAATGAGCATGGGAATGCTAGCAGTCGATCTCAATGTCCAGAGCGCCCAATCGCTCCGGATGCTACGGTCAGGCTCGGAAGCAAGGCACTGACAGAGCTATAGAGTCATTGTTGTGATGCAAAGCACCATGTTAGTCTACGTGGGTATGATGACGATCCCAAGCGAGAACGCATCTTTGTATATAACGGGCCTATGCCACCGTAAGACCGCTCTCTACTCAACCATCCATCTGAATCATCAGCTACACCATGGCACGCTTCTTCTTCCAAATACTGCTTGCTGCCGCGAGCCTCGTCGCTGGCCAAAGCACAACGTGCCCAAATGAGGTTGCCATCTACAATCAGCAAGATCGCACTATGAGTGCGACCAGCAGTAAGTGTGAATTCTCTGGACAGTAAGGAAATCTTGTACTGATACAGTTTGCAGACTGGTTCCTTGTCCCGGTGCCTAAGGATGCTGTCATGAAGGCCCTCAAGGAGTCGTTCTCGAGCTTAGTCAACCTAGGCGGACTAAATCTGCTATCTCTTCCCGAAGAGCTGAAATTTCCCGAGGGCATGCACCCGGTCATCGTCAACGCCGGAGCCAACACCGATATCCGCCAGGGCGGCCTCCAGCTTGCTACAGGAGTGATGACCGCCAGCTCTATGATCCCCTACGTTGGCGTCGGTAGCTCCAAGACACCACTCAATGCGCCCCTCGTGTCGTACCTTGCCGGCGTGGACGAAGTAACCCAGGGTTACGTTGCCGGCCTTGTTCCCTCTCTAGTTGGTAAGTAATAAGCGCACACTCAGTTCAGCTTGAGGGTCATAGCTAATGCGCAAGTCTTTAGCTACTGTAGGCGGTATTCAGACCAGAATCGGCGCATTTCTACCACTCAATGCACCATTCCAATCATACAGGGATGGATCTTTCGGCATCAACTCGAAGTGGGCACAGGCACCCAACCCTGTCAGCGGTCCTGGCCTGTACTCCGAGGCGATCGATCTCAAGTTCGTCAGCGAACCCAACCAAGCAGCACCCAAATACTCCCTCGACATGTGGAAAAGCATGGTCAACCAGCCCTTCTTGCTCGGCAGCGTGGGAAGCCTCCTTTCACCCAAGTGCCAACGCAACGTCTACTTCTTTAACAACGCCACCGCACAGCCAACTTACCGCTCGGGCAACGTAACTCTTGGTCCTTCAGCAGGTGCCAATGTGTTCTCTGCTACCTTGCAAAAGGCCAGTCCAGATGGTTCCGGATTCTACCAGGGAGTTTATGGCTTCACTGGCTGTGGGCAGGCTGTCGGATATGGCGCTGTTGTTCCGCTAGGCGAGGACTGCGAGGCTGCTGCTCAGGCCATTAAGAACACCCCTGGAGCTTTGTAAGAATACTTAATGACCTACCTGGATAGGTAGATGAAAACTACTTGTCGAGTAATACCAGTAATGTTAGCCATGTACCCAGAATGTCTCAATTCTAGGTTTTATGTTTCCTACGTTCTATAGAAGTAATGAAGAGCTGGTGGAAGCACGTTGCACGTCTTTGCTGCAAGTCGTTACGTCATTGTTGTCGCGTCACCGAAAATGGGGCGTTCACTGTGCGCACGCGTCTTTCCTCGACAGTTACACATTGTCTTCGTGCGAGCGATACTTGTTGAAAATCTGTCAGCCGGAGATTTATCCGAACTGAGGTCTGGGAATAACACCTCGAGGAGGCCGAGCAATGAATGTACCCGTGGACTATACCGTTTACGGTTAGCGCGGCTGATTGGTTCGCAAGATATACGTCATATTGACCGGAGATACCCAACGATAATAGATTTTTGTTGCATCTGTCATTGCTTAGCGTTACTGATGTTCTATCAATTCCTCGCTCTATTGTTGCTGACGGCTTTAGCATCATAAAGGCGTCCGGCACTTGCCACGTTTCCGGCAATCTTTCTCATTCTTCGAGCTGCACCTAGAACAGGGATCGTAGTCTTATATTTAAGCATCCCAGAATAAACCGTTGAGAAAAGCGACAAGATATGAACTACTGGAATCATGGATTCTAAAGACGAACGATCATCAGACACGAAGCCCACTTCGACATCAAACACCGACGTAGATCTTGAGAGTGGAAGGCGATCAAGACCAAGGCAGCGGAGCGAGTCAACATCCGATTCATCGTCGGAGTATGAGGAAGAGAAGGATGCCGATCATGATGGCCATCGTCCATCGGGAAGAGAACTTCAAGAAAGCATTTCGCGATCACGCAGCAGACGCAGTCTACCAAGAGACAGAAGAGCGACAGCCACGGCGAGTGGTATGAATCAGCCTTTGAGCCGGACAATATCTAGACGCGACACCGCACTTTCACGAATACGTACACGGCCGAATGTTGCGCCCTTTTCCCATCCTCTGGCGCACCAGCAGACCACTGCAGATGTGCTAGTAGATTTTGAGGGCGAAGACGATCCTTATCGCCCCATGAACTGGCCCACAAAGAAGAAGATCACAACGACCATGATGTATGGCCTCACGACTATGAGCGCGACATGGGCTTCTTCTGCGTATTCTGCAGGTACACGACAGATAGCAGCCGAGTTCAACGTAGGAAACCAGGTCGCAGTGTTGGGCACTACGCTCTTCCTGTTTGGATTTGGACTTGGACCGCTTCTGTGGGCTCCACTTTCCGAAGTCTACGGGAGACGTTTGGCAGTTTTGACGCCCATGTTCATTGCAATCTGCTTTAGCTTCGGTAGTGCCGTAGCAAAGGACTTCCAGACACTGATGATTACAAGGTTCTTCGGTGCCTTCTTTGCTAGCGCACCAGTCACGAATACCGGTGGTGTGTTGGGCGATCTGTATAGTCCGGCATGGAGAGCCTTAGCCATGGCAGGCTACGCTATGGCGGTCGTTGGCGGTCCATGTCTAGGGCCAATTGTCTCAGCAGCTTTTGTCGCTAATCCATCACTTGGCTGGCGTTGGACCGAATACTTCACGGGTATACTTCAGGCAACCATTCTGTTCATCGACATTATATTCATCGATGAATGCTACCCACCGAAACTCCTCGTCTACAAAGCACGTCGCCTGCGGCACGAAACCGGCAACTGGGCCCTTCACACGAAGTTCGAGGAGTGGGATGTCAGCATCAAAGAATTGTCTAAGAAATTCCTTCTCCGGCCACTACAGCTCCTGATGACTCCTATCTGTTTCCTTGTCGCGCTCTACGCTAGCTTCTGCTACGGCATTCTATACATGATGCTGGGAGGTAAGAGATATCGCTATAAGAACTGTCTGTGAGACGTACTGACACGTTCAGGCATTCCCATAATTTTCGGCGAAATGAGGGGATGGCCAGCTGTAAGCGCAACGCTGCCTTTCCTGGGTATCTTGGTTGGCGCAATCATCGGCTGCAGCATCAACGCCTATAACCAGCTTCTTTACAACAAAGTCTATCGTGCAGCTGGTAATCGTGCCGTTCCGGAAGCGCGTCTGCCACCGATGATGCTCGGCTCGGTACTCTTCTCCGCCGGTCAGTTCATCCTGGGCTGGACAGCGGACCCTCAATACCATTGGATTGCTCCCATCATTGGGCTGGTGTTGCTGGGAACTGGATTCTTCACGATCTTTCAAGCTGCCCTGAATTACCTGGTCGATACATTTACGTTGTATGCAGCGAGTGCAGTAGCAGCGAATACTTTTCTTCGAAGCGCCTTTGCGGGCGCTTTTCCGTTGGTAGTGACGCCGCTGTATCACAACGTTGGAGTAGGTCCCGCGAGTAGTATTACTGGTGGATTCGCGGCACTGCTTATCCCAGTGCCTTTCGTGTTCTACATATATGGCAAGAGGATCAGGAGGGCAAGTAAATGGAGTCGAGGGAGTGTTTTTGATTGAAGAGCCAATGGATTATTACAGTAACACGTCAATCAAGAAAAAAACTAAACGGGTCTGCAGCCTACATCAACATTAAAACCTACAAGATAGGTAACCTGGCGTCGATGTAGGCTCTAGGCCTGTTTAGTTTTGTTCTAGTATGAGGTGGTAATACCATTGTGAGTTTTAGCTCATCCCGCAATTGATGAAAGCCGGTTTCCGCGCTTCACGTGTCTGATCGACTCAATACCCCACTTAAGTTGTCATCACGTTCTTGATCTCCGGAAACACATCCGCGAACCGAGCCGAGAAAGACTCGACGTACGCACCCCAAGACTCCTTGCAGCCGTCGCATAGCTTGATTCCACCAAATGAAAAAGAAGTATGTCCACCATGTGTCTCACGGTGCTGACAGCCCTTACAAGTATCCTCGCTGCTCGCGTTGAGGAACTCACGAAGGCCGTCGAACATGAGCTCATCACTTCTCGCCATCAAGTGGTTGTAGCGCTCGACGTCCTTGGCATCGCCATCCTGCATGTCGACGCGGTTCCAGAGCTTGAACTGTTGGCGTGCTTGTGTGATAACGATATCTGTCTCAGGCCGACCGATCATCATTCCATCTTCGATGAACCGGTAGCGACGCATCACTAAAGAACTTCGTTAATGACGGTATATCGTTGCGAAGGGAAATTTCAACCTACTCATATGTATAGGACCACCGAAGAATCGTAAGAAATTGATGATAACCATGTGTTCTCGCTTGCCCGCCCAAGCAACGTCGAGAGCCCAGAGCAACTCACGGGACTGGTGGAAAGCCTTGATACGAATGTCGGAAGGCGCGTATGCGAACGTGGAGTTCTGAAAGTTCCAGATCAGTTCTTGTCCATCACATCACATGTGGTTAGACATCACTCACTGTCTCGCCCTCGGACCGGTGTTTGTAGAAGGCTACACTGTCGTAGAGAGTGGCGCCGAGTTCATCCAAAGCCTCGAACTGTTCTTCGGTATAGTGTACGTCATCGAGATCGTTACAGACCAGAGCTGCGCCCATAGTAAAGCGTATCAAAGCATCTGTGTCGCGCATGCGGAACCATTGTCGAGGCGACTTGGCAAGGGCGGTAACGTAACGTCTGAACAACAAGCCTTCACGGCGTTTGCTTGCCTTGTCTGCTGTGATGAGAAGGAAGCAGCGGAACTCGCGAGCCATGGCCGCACTGTACCTGGATGGGATGACATCAGTATCAGTCTGTAAGGTTCGAGATACAGCAAAAAGAGAACAGGTCAGCTTACTGTTCAGTTGTTCCCTGAAAGAGCTCGTCCAGAAGAGCAGTGAGGTTGTATCCCAGAAGATTGTCGCCAAGTGACACCTGTACCAAATCGCCTTTGCACTCTGCGACGATACCGATGACGATAACACGCATGAAGGCCACATAGCGATTCCAATTGGTGTATTGAGGAATCACGCAGCGTGCGTACTCCCATGCGCATGCATATACTTCTTCCTTGATGCGCTGTGCAAGGTCGAAGTCTTTGAGATCGTTGGCGATGTCGGCGGGATAGTCTATGGATTGAAGGATGAGTACGCTGTCTGTATACTAAACATGAGGAGGGGAGACCTTACACCAGTTCTCTCGGATCGGTGGTACGGACTGTTCATTCGGCACAGCGAGGGATGGCTTGAAGAACGGCCTGATGAGTTTGAAGCCCTGATCAGATGTGAGTATAGTTGATATGAAATGTCGAGTGTCGAGCGGCGTTGTATCAACCGCGCGGAAAGAACATACCGACAGAGTTTCGCGGTACTGCTTGCAAAGCCCCTCGAAGTAAGCATAAAGCATACTGAACAACACGATTTTGAACATGCTGTTCGTATCGCGGAGAAGAGTATCGCGTGCGAAGAGATTTTGTCCGGCTGTCGTAGAGAGTTCAAATACAAAACCCGTCGTGAGCAAGTTCAAAAACTTTCTTAGCGGCGCAAACGAAAGATTCTCCGGAAACCTTTCACTCATTTCACACCCGTACGCCGCGCGTTCAGCTCGTAGGATCCGTCATTTCTGATAGGAGACAGTCGGCTCACCCTGCACATCGACCCTGACTGTATTGGCAATCACGCTAGAGTGGGGCTTGTGAGTGGGTGATGAGCTCTTTCCCGCACACGGTGAAACGGCGCAAACATACCTACACACCAGCAGCAGCGCATCATTGGCGAAACTGCCTGACAACATATCGATCGCGTTTGAAACAAGAATGCCCAGAGTTGGGAGATGCAAGGAAATTACCGATAATGGAGACCCAGCACAGCGGCGTGGCTTTCTAGCCCTTGCACAATTGGGTAATTTCCTACCAGTCTCCCAGGTAACTGAGTACACTAAGCTCCGTTCATATAATGGCAGCGAGATTGAAACACGCTGCATTTAGCTGTGTGTCTACTCCGAATTTGCGTATTGGGTGTGATGAACATGTAAATTTTTGCCCGGAAGATGGCCATCGCGTTCGAGAACGGTGACTGCTGAGTACATGACGCCAGATCGAAGTCCAATACGGTGACGTTTTCCGAGCTCTTACTGCAGAGTTTCGCAATCCCGCCGCCGTCTAAAAGAAATCCTTCGAATCAAATCGTGGAGTAGGTGATTGCCATTGTCCAGCAAGGAGTCTCACAAAGCAGAGATATCGGAAGTATGTGTACACCGCGAGGTCTACCATTCAAACACTGGCAGTCTATGGTGGCTGGCCTTTTGTCATCGCGCCCGTAGTTCGATCGATCAGAAAAGACTTGTTATACTTGAAATGCCACTCCTTCTCTCTTGACCATCGCCTTTCCAGCACTTGCAAACCCGGTACCTTCACTCCTTATCTCCACAAGTCCAGGCTTGGGCGCCTTTTCCTTCTCGTTATCCTTTTTCTTCTTCTTGCCTTCCTTGGCGTCTGGAACTGTCGTAAGATCCGCATCGCATACATAGCAATGAACAGTCTCGGGCTCCGGTCCTTGATCATGTGCATCTCGCTGATGGCGATGTTCTGGCCGGAGAAACTTGTCAACGCATGGCTTGCATAGGACGTGACCACAAGGTATAGCGAGCATGGCTTTCGTACTGTTTGAGAGCGCTTTTTGACAGCTGGGACATGTGCGAGCCGACTTTCCCGTCTCGGACGACTTTTCTTCGTGGAAGTTGACGCTCGTCAAGCTCTTCAGCGACAGGCTGTGCGGTTGATCTGGGTGGCTTGACGGGCATACAGGCGTTTGCTTCGCCTTCTCTACGCTTTTGTGGTGTTGGTCGGGTGTCTCGCCGGGAACCCAAAAACTGGGGAGATGACCCTTGGCTGCTTTGCGCTCGGCGTCGAATGTGCGTTTTGCTTTGCTCTGCTCTTCTTGTGCGATGCGCTTGAGTTCCTCTTGGTCAATTTCGAACTTGCGTTTCGTGCCTCTGGCCTCTCCAGCCTTGGCATCCTGCTCTTCTTCGACCATGATCTTGCTGCCTTGCCTTCCAACGACTCGTGCTGATGCACCTGCTTTGACCGAAAGCCCCATCTGAACAGCTTCGAATTCCTCGACTGCCAGCAGCCGCGCTTCCTCCTCTTCTCGCAGCTTTTGATCCTCGTCCTCCAACTTCTGGCGCTCGTTCAGCTTCTCTAGTCGCTTCATTTCCTTTCGTTGCGCCAGAAGATTGGTCATGGCGCACTCGCGACAGAACAGATCGCCTTGTGAACAGCACACTGGGTCTACTGAAGGAAGGAGACATAGTTGGCAGGAGCCAAAAGGTAGAAATGAGTCACGGGTCAGACGCGTAGCCTGCGAGCCCCATCGGTCTTTGAGGGCATTCCGCTCGTATGACGTGAATATGGTCTTTGGAGGCGGCATGTTGCTAGGTTCAGCATTCAAGATTCGCAAATCGGGACGCGACTTTTCGTGATGGACTCAGTAGGTAGGTCAATCCGAGCAACAGTGCCAGGCGCAGCTATGGGATCCCGTGTCCAAGCTCTGAGGATGATGCACAAGACTCGCAAGTCCAAGTCTAGTCTTGTAAAGTGTCGAGCTCTTGCTGTGGTGATGGAAGAAGGCGTGTTGAAGCGGAAGAGCCATCCACTTGGCGCACGTGCAGGCCGCAATCGCGCTAGCAGTGTCGCCAAAATGCCGGTCCCTGGCAGTGACGTTGGTGGGCCGCGGTATCCAGCTATTGAGCGCGAAATCTTCACATGTCGCCCTCCACCCCACGCCTACACCAATGCGACCAGAGGAGCAGCCGGAGGCCCCCAGCGGGCCATGGCGCGCCGCGTCGGCCTTCACCATGGGCGCTGTCGGGCTCTTGTGCAAAGGATTCTTGAATGGCCTGAGCAAGGTTGAGACACATGGGATGGATGGCTTCCTGAAGCTGTTGGATGAAAGAGAGGATCCAGCGAGTAGGCAACGAGGCCTCATAACTGGTAAGTGCTTGGACTGTCCAGAACCCAGGAAATGCTCAGTACTGACGAGCGTGCAGTCTCGAACCACATCTCCGTGTACGTACGTTTGCCATAATCTCCGAATCGTCATGGATGGACTGCGCTCACACAATCTATACAGAATGGATGATCCCATACTATGGGGCATACTACCACTCGCCTACATATTCACCCCAGACAATTTGCGCTGGGGATTAGGTAGTTATGATCTATGCTTCACCAACAAGTATGTCACCTCTGGAATGCACAGAAAGCTCGGCTGATGCCCTAGCAGAGGACTGTCGACGTTCTTTACCTTTGGACAGGTTCTACCCACACATCGTTCGGCGCATTCCCAATTTGGCGGCCTATTCCAACCCACCGTAACGCAAGCGATTCGTCTTCTCTCACACGGCCCGTTCCACGATCAAGAACCACCAGAAAAGCCTACAACATCGCTCAAGAGCCCAGACCTCATCGATCCTTTTACCGACGGCCACCTCACATTCTCTACAAACGGACAAGACACGTTTCCTGCGCCCTCGGCATACCTGAATCGGCGGCATGCGTGGGT